AGGTAATGAACTCACAATTTACAAAGGTAATGAACTCACAATTTACAAAGGTAATGAACTCACAATTTACAAAGGTAATGAACTCACAATTTACAAAGGTAATGAACTCCAGGTAAGTCTGGTCACAATCATGACAAGTTACAAAGGTATTTACAGATTACAGAGGTACGTAATGGGTCCAGGGACTGGGCCCCCAAAGTTTTGATAGCTGAACTAGGTACTAGGTAGTGGCTGAAACAAATCACGAATAACCTAGACTTAAGAGAAGAAGCTTAAGACCTGACAATGGATTAGGACGGACCGAAACGTCGTTATTAGTTTTCTCTCCTAATTGCGTAAGAGATGTGAAAAGGAAAAGTTTCTTGGAAACACCCAGGTTGTGGAGGTAGTAGATCAAGCCACCATGGATCTGATCATTGGTATTTGTACATCTATTTAATCACTACACTTGCCTAACTTTAACATCAGTATGATCCATAACCTGTGTCAATATAGAGTAGGAATTAGTATTAGTCTGCACGCAATAATATTTTATATATAAACCCCACATTATATATCAACAGAGAATAAAGAATTTCAATTTAATTTTTAAGAGTGCTAGAGGTGCACTCTGATAAGAAATGTCACCATATCAAAAACATTATACTCAGATCACAACATAATTGAGGTTCAGACATGTATGCGCGGAGCCCCAGACCGACAAAATGAGACTAGTCACGAGGGAGCATTCACCAAATTCAACTTCAATAACAAAAACATAAAGTGGGACCAAGTAAACCAAGTCCTAACCGATATAAGCTGGGAAGATATACTAAGCAACACAGACCCCAACTTATGCCTAGAACAGATTAACTCGGTGGCACTCGATGTATGCACAAGGCTTATTCCTCTAAGAAAAAGGAGGAGTAGATGTAAAATAGAAAGAGACAGGCGCTCCCTTTACAGGCGACGGAAAAAGAATAACAGAGCGGCTAAAAAGAGGTCAATATATCTGAAATGCGTAGGGAGACACTGGTCAGAGAAATAGCAAGCATCGAACTTAAGCTAAAAGAATCCTTTAGGAGTCAGGAATCGCGGGAAGAACTAAAAGCCATAAATGAAATCGAAAGAAACCCAAAGCATTTCTTCTCCTATGCCAAATCAAAATCGAGAACAACGTCCAGTATTGGGCCCCTACTTAAACAAGATGGGTCCTACACAGATGACAGCAAGGAAATGAGTGAGCTACTCAAGTCCCAATATGACTCAGTTTTTAGCAAGCCGCTAACCAGACTGAGAGTCGAAGATCAAAATGAATTTTTTATGAGAGAGCCACAAAATTTGATTAACACAAGCCTATCCGATGTTATCCTGACGCCATATACTTCGAACAGGCGATAAATGACATGCCCATGCACTCTGCCCCAGGGCCAGACTCATGGAACTCTGTGTTCATCAAGAACTGCAAGAAGCCCCTATCACGAGCCTTTTCCATCCTATGGAGAGGGAGCATGGACACGGGGGTCGTCCCACAGTTACTAAAAACAACAGACATAGCCCCACTCCACAAAGGGGGCAGTAAAGCAACAGTAAAGAACTACAGACCGATAGCACTAACATCCCGTATCATAAAAATCTTTGAAAGGGTCCTAAGAAGCAAGATCACCACCCATCTAGAAACCCATCAGTTACACAACCCAGGGCAACATGGGTTTAGAACAGGTCGCTCCTGTCTGTCTCAACTATTGGATCACTACGACAAGGTCCTAAATGCACTAGAAGACAAAAAGAATGCAGATGTAATATATACAGACTTTGCAAAAGCCTTCGACAAGTGTGACCATGGCGTAATAGCGCACAAAATGCGTGCTAAAGGAATAACAGGAAAAGTCGGTCGATGGATCTATAATTTCCTCACTAACAGAACACAGAGAGTAGTCGTCAACAGAGTAAAGTCCGAGGCAGCTACGGTGAAAAGCTCTGTTCCACAAGGCACAGTACTCGCTCCATCTTGTTCCTCATCCTCATATCCGACATAGACAAGGATGTCAGCCACAGCACCGTGTCTTCCTTTGCAGATGACACCCGAATCTGCATGACAGTGTCTTCCATTGCAGACACTGCAAGGCTCCAGGCGGACATCAACCAAATCTTTCAGTGGGCTGCAGAAAACAATATGAAGTTCAACGATGAGAAATTTCAATTACTCAGATATGGTAAACATGAGGAAATTAAATCTTCATCAGAGTACAAAACAAATTCTGGCCACAAAATAGAGCGAAACACCAACGTCAAAGACCTGGGAGTGATTATGTCGGAGGATCTCACCTTCAAGGACCATAACATTGTATCATCGCATCTGCTAGAAAAATGACAGGGTGGATAATGAGAACCTTCAAAACTAGGGAGGCCAAGCCCATGATGACACTCTTCAGGTCACTTGTTCTATCTAGGCTGGGAATATTGCTGCACACTAACAGCACCTTTCAAGGCAGGTGAAATTGCCGACCTAGAAAATGTACAGAGAACTTTCACGGCGCGCATAACGGAGATAAAACACCTCAATTACTGGGAGCGCTTGAGGTTCTAAAACCTGTATTCCCTGGAACGCAGGAGGGAGAGATACATGATTATATACACCTGGAAAATCCTAGAGGGACTAGTACGAACTTGCACACGAAAATCACTCACTACGAAAGCAAAAGACTTGGCAGACGATGCACCATCCCCCAATGAAAAGCAGGGGTGTCACTAGCACGTTAAAAGACCATACAATAAGTGTCAGGGGCCCAAGACTGTTCAACTGCCTCCCAGCACACATAAGGGGGATTACCAACAGACCCCTGGCAGTCTTCAAGCTGGCACTGGACAAGCACCTAAAGTCAGTTCCTGATCAGCCGGGCTGTGGCTCGTACGTTGGTTTGCGTGCAGCCAGCAGCAACAGCCTGGTTGATCAGGCGCTGATCCACCAGGAGGCCTGGTCACAGACCGGGCCGCGGGGGCGTTGACCCCCGGAACTCTCTCCAGGTAAACTCCAGGTAAATACAAGTAAATGACCTGTGTAATAAAGCGTGGTAAATGGTATTGTGAGCCCCGGGGGGGGGTTAAAAAAACCCACTGACCATTAGTTATAAAAGACTTGACATACTATGGGAAGGTTGGGTTTCTTCCCATCATCTTCCTGTCAGGTGTTCGTAACGAAAATGAATTTGATGAAAAAAAAAATCTCTAACCCTGTGATCATGGTAGATACTCATTGTATTAAAAATTCGTTCTGTAATTACTGATAGGATATTCACGCGTTATTACTGTATTGTTATTATATTCAGCAACAGGGCAGTTCAACACCACTGGTAGTGAATGTTAACGAACTTACACATAACACTCAAGATGGAATGCAAAGTCCCAACCTTCAGTTACCTCACATCAGCTGCTACCTATGTAAGAATATTACATAAACTCTCAACTTGGTTATATAGTATAACAAAAAAGTAAGAAATATGGGAAATACCTTATCGTAACCTTCATGGTAAAGTTACGTATGCAGTAGGACATGGAGTCGATTCTCCTCATTTACGTCAAAAATACATGAACAAATTTCACAGACCAAATAATTTGCACCTCAGGAGTAAGTGTAATAAAGCCTTTATGGAGGATTTAACTTCCATGTTGTGCAAGACGCTGGGGAAATATGACTTTTTTTTTTAGATTTTATCGATAATTACTTAATAAGATCGTCTCAGGTGAGTATAACGAGGTGCTGCATAACCCTTGTGGGTTTAGCGCTTAGTTATAATAATATTAATAATAACACTAATAATAACAGACGCCTGGATGCCGCCACCACTGCCCCTCATCGGCTGAGCTAGAGACAACACCTTGCCAACACTAACAATACTCTTGTCTGCCATGTCAGAGGCATCCTACAGACCATCTATTCTCCTAGTCTTCACAGATGTCTTGCTGAATCGGCTCTTATACACAGCATTAGAATCATTATATTAATGGTGCACAGATCCTGCAAGTTGTCGGTCTGGTATACCACTGATGTAATAATACTTGTTGGCACAGCTACACCATGAAATCTTGGTACGGAGGATATTTTCTACAACTCTATTGCTGAACGATTTCCTAACTTATAGGCATTATCTATTTTTACAGGTCAGCCCTGCCCACTTATGACGCTGTCTCCTACTGCTGCACCTCACTCTGGATCAATTATATAATTCACAATTCCCATGCCTCTGCTTTAGGCTAAGGGACCAAACGCCATCAATCAGCATAAAATTACTGAACACCTACCAAGACTAAGGGATTGAACACAATAACATGGCCTGGTGGCTAAAGCTCCCGCTTCACACACGGAGGGCCCGGGTTCGATTCCCGGCGGATGGAAACATTCGACACGTTTCCTTACACCTGTTGTCCTGTTCACCTAGCAGCAAATAGGTACCTGGGTGTTAGTCGACTGGTGTGGGTCGCATCCTGGGGGACAAGATTAAGGACCCCAATGGAAATAAGTTAGACAGTCCTCGATGACGCACTGACTTTCTTGGGTTATCCTGGGTGGCTAACCCTCCGGGGTTAAAAATCCGAACGAAATCTTATCTTATCTTATCTCTCTACTTCCACAGTCTCCAGTGTAAAGTCGCATCTTCATTTGACTAAAGAAAAAAGGAAAGGGCTAATTAGTTTAGAATTCTACTAAAGACAATTATATAGGGTTGTCTCTTTGCTTTTATATACATTTTCAAAGGTGTTCCCATAGTTACACACGGTTGTTTCTGTATTCAACCATTCTGGTTGTCTCTGTCTTCACACAGTTTAGTTGCCCCTGTAGTCCCACGGCGAAGTTGTCCCCGTATTGTTTGTCCCAGTATTCACACAACGATTATCAAATGCAAACATTCTGTAACGTTCACAAACTAAAAAAAACTTTCATACCTAGTCAAATAGCTCACTGAGATTTTATTATTCCAATCATCTATATACTATTGTTAAAAGGCAAACGTTGAGCTTACTGGTAGCGTGAACTTTGTCAGCGAAGATGATCACAGACCAGACTACAGCTGCGTAGCGTATCATTGGTATAGATGACGTCCTCCGGGATGTAGAAGGTTCGAAGGGGTAAGAGTGATACCTTATGTCGTGGTGACGCAAAGTTACAGTGATACCGGGAAATGCTTAAAGTTGCAATGATGCTGCCAAATCAGTAAAAAAGAGATGTCTCCAAGTCACTATAATGCTGGGAGTTGTGCTGGCGAGCCACACTGATGCTTAGAGACGCGTTTCCACGCCAAGATGATACTGGGAGTGGCGTCGTCCAGGCACACATATACTTGGAGATGCGTAGTAACATTGGCTGCTTGTTAGTGACTGACGAACCAACAGAGAGGGCATTATATTTTCTCCCCAGCCCCACCCTTAATTGTAGCGTCGTTGCCAGACGATAACTTATAGTCAGTAGGTGGAGGAAAAAGGAGAGGGAGAAGACATTTAATCAAAGCCCCTTTCTTTATACTAATGTGTGTGTATATATTACGCTGATTAGATGCACCCGCGGGAGTTCGGTGCAAAAATAAAGTCTAGATGAGTTACCAAATAACTGATGGGATTAGCTGTAAGTACAGAATTTCTGACACATTTTCCGAGTGTTAAACGGCGCCGGTGTTTCCGTATCAGAAGTCAACGAGTTTAGAAAGGTTAATATTCTTATTATGCATCTGATACCCATCCTGTGGGCAGTAGTTAAGATTACACACACACACACATAATGGGTCCAGGGATTGGACTGCAAAGTTTTGATAATTACACAAATTACAACGGTAATGAATTATTTACATGTTTATATCTGGTTAAAATCGTAATGAGTCAAACAGTGCAGCTACTGATGTGCAATTCGGCGACTGTTCAACACATTCCAAGTACATCTTTAGCACATCCTTAGCTTATTGTCAGTAAATCATTTGTGCATCTTAAGCACATAACTCGCACATCTTTACACCCTCAGTACGTCTTTGACCACTTGTCATCACAACAGCACATCTTCACATGTTCAACGCATTTTTAGCACATCTTCAGCCCATCTTCCACGCACCCTCAGTTCTTGCTAGTTAAATAGCTTCATTTTACTTCCAATACCCATCTTGTGGATGGTAATCCAAAGATTCCAAAGGTATATAATAGATCCTGGAACTCTACTTTTTACAGAATTTGTGGAAAGGTATTCTGGACACTGATCTTTAGCTATTTTGAAAATATGGTTTAATATCAGCTGTATCACCCTAATACTTATAGTATTCCCAGTTTTCTTAATTCATCCCGTTAATGGACTTTTGATCCGAAAGAAGTGGAATTACCCCCTCTTCGGATAACTCCTGTTTGTTCCCCCACACGTTGTATAATTCTACAACAGAGATCTCCAAACTTTTCACTACGAGGCCCACATCGTATATTTTACACACATTCGAGGGCCAAAGAAAAAATCAGTCTTATCAATAAATATAAATAAATAAAATATAAATAAGTTTTATTTGGATCTTTTTGTAATCAATATGATATGATTCAGAACAAAAGAGAAACGTGACAATTACGAAGAAACAATACTGTGTTTACACAGAGAAACATGTAGTGAATAATTCTCTGACAATATAATTACTGAACTGTGGATGAGAAAAGCTCCATAAGAGTCATGGGAATAATGGAACTGGTCAATTTAATTTCAAAATATTGCTTAACCTAGGTTCGAAGCTGAGGAGCCAATTACTAGAATGGACTTCAAATGCTCCTCAGATAAAACTGCGATATTTGAACTTAATAATTATTTCTACAAGTACATGTACAGGGTATACAGGCGTAGTTGACATCAATAACATGTACTATACAGAAAGCCGCTTGTTATGCAGAGCATTTCGGGCAAATTAGGTCACTGTTGTCCCCAGGATGTGACCCACATCAGTCCACTAACACCCAGGTACCTATTTTACTGGTAGGTGAATATGGACGATCGACACCATGCCCAGCCCTTCTAGGGCAGGGTAGGTGCTTGAGCCAGAGCTTACAGCTCACAAGACTGTCATTCCCATTAGCCCTCTTGGGGCGGGGATGGCAGACCAGAGAGGCCTAGTTTCTCCCTACGAGCCCCGTGAGGGCAGGGAATGTGGCTAGGCCTGGGGACAGTTGGTCTCAACGATGAGGGGGTACTTGTACCTCCTCCCATAGGAGACTTAGGTCTCAGACACTCCCTCGAAAGGAGCCAAGGCCGGGCCACCCCTTGGAAAAGGCCCGGGCCGGGAGAATACCGGCGAATCAACAAGATGATAAACATGAACAATGGGTATCTTGAGGAAACACGTCCTGAAGAAGTTTCCAGCCGTACCGGTGATCTTTCCCCGAACCTCAGTGTGTGAGCCGAGTGCGCTGGCAATCGAGCTATGGGACACCTATTTCATTTTTGAAAATGCTTGTTTACGAAGGTAAGTACTACCAAAGACTGATAAGTATCTACAATCATATCACTTCAAATTTGGAAACTGTTCAGGCTGTAATGATTCATAAAATTAGATCAGATTTCCTTCATTATGTCATCTGACTAGAGATCAATAATGTCCATTTGAAACCGACTTAGGAGTGTTTCAGCAATGCTGTCAAATGGATTTTGAAATGGCTTTATTTCATATGTTTTTCCGTCGAAATAAGAAGTTTCTGAAACTGCTTTTGCAAGTCATTAATGAAGAAGGAAATTCTTCTTCTCTTCCTTCGTGAAATTTTTCACAACATGGGGAAATTAAACAAGTTAGAAACTTTCACTTAAAATTGATTTGTGCAAGAAAAATTTAATTGTTTAAGTTTTAAGGTAAAATATTTAAGTTTATCATGAAGAGAAGCTTGTAATAGAAAACTGTGTTAAGGTAAGAACATAAAAAACGGGTTTCATGGGGTAACCCAAGCCATTACAAAATTACCTCTCAATCACTTCGTTTAATTTATTATTATTATAATCAAGGGGGAAGCGCTAAACCCGGAAGATTATACAGCGCCTGGGGGGGGGGATGTGGAAGGCATTCAGGCTTAATTCGGGGAACTGGAGCACAGATCCAATTCCCTAAATCAAGAGCCCCTCACCAACATCAAGGAACCTTCCTTGAGGGGTCACTTCGTTTAAGATAAGATAAGATTTCGTTCGGATTTTTAACCCTCGGAGGGTCAGCCACCCAGGATAACCCAAGAAAGTCAGTGCGTCATCGAGGACTGTCTAACTTATTTCCATTAGGGTCCTTAATCTTGTCCCCCAGGATGCGACCCACACCAGTCGACTAACACCCAGGTACCTATTTGCTGCTAGGTGAACAGGACAACAGGTGTAAGAAAACGTGTCGAAATGTTTCCACCCGCCGGGAATCGAACCCGGGCACTCCGTGTGTGAAGTGGGAGCTTTAGCCATCAGGCCACACAAAGCATTGTTGAAGACACGAAGCACTGTTTTTAACCCATTCACTTACACAGGAGCTATGAATCGACCCCTGTAATCACATATAGGTAAGTACACACACACACACACACACGCACACACGCACACACGCAGGGCCAGGAGCTAGGACTCGACCCCTGCAACCACAAATAGGTGAGTACTTTGAAGTACAAACTTTTACAGAGACAAAACTTTCGCTATTTGCAGAGCTTTAGCAAGTATAATATAAATTAGACACATGTGCAACACTTAGGTATCTTTAATAGGAAACGTTTCGCCACACCTGGGCTTCATCAGTCCATACAAAAGAATCTTGAAGAACATGAGGAGTATGGGGTAATCAGTCCCTCAGCCTTCAGTCGATGTGGTCAGTCCATCAATCTTTAATAGAATACAGGACTGATGAAGCCACTGTGTGGCGAAACGTTTCCTCATTAAAGATACCTAAGTGTTGCACATGTGTCTAATTTATCAACGTGTCGGTTCTCTGAACCATTCATCTACATTTCTGTCTGACACAGCAACATCTTGGGATCTTAATACAGGGGATTCTTCGCTTGCCTAACCCTTGGGCACGACCTTGGGCACGACCTTGGGCACGACCTTGGGCACGACCTACTTCCACATTGGACAAATGTGACACCACCTACGACTGCTGCACCTCTCCTGCCTACGGTATATAAGCTACTTCTCCCCACATATGCTGTATTCTATTCAAGATTGATGGACTGATCACATCGACTCAAGGTTGAGGGACTGATTACCTCATTCTCCTCCTGTTCTTCACGATTCTCCTTAGTATGGACTGATGAAGCCACTGTGTGGCGAAACGTTTCCTCAATAAAGATACCCAGGAGTTGCACATGTGTCTAATTTATCAACTTGTTGGTTCTCTGAACCATTCATCTACATGTATAATATAGCTCTGCTCAGAACGAAATGTTCTAATATTAACTTGGTCTCCAATGTACCCTTTTGCAATCGTCAGTACGCCATTTAGATCCATCTTTCTGGTCAAATAGCCTCCACCCAGCTACGTGCACTCCGGCTAAATGTCATTTCCACTTTCAACTCAGATTTCTTAATATTCAACATTTTCAACAAATTAAACTTCAGTATTCGAAATATCATGGAGTATTTCTTTTTTAGACCAAGCGCATTACCAGTATTTTCCTTACGTGGGAAGCTTGGCTACGAGAGAAGGCTCTGCGCTGCGTTTTGCAGATGAAGGATTGAGTCTTCACCACCACTATACACCGAATAACCCATATGGATTTAGCACTTGCAATGGATTAGTAATTCTCTACCATGTCGTGCATACATTGTGTCACAATCTACGCACAACATTTATCACAATCTTTCATATTGCCCCCAGCAGTCACGATTCAGTACTAACTGCTTGTCTTGACTCACTGGTAGTGCCTTCAGTTCAGCGGAAGAGCTCAGGTTCGATACTGGAGCGGATGCGGAAGTTGGGTTGGGTTTTCTTAAACTTGTTCACCTAGCAGTGAGTAGGTACCTGGGTATTGACAGACTGTTGTATACCTGGAGAGGGTTTCGGGGGTGAACGCCTCCGCGGCCCGGTCTGTGACCAGGCTTTGCGGTGGATCAGGGTCTGATCAACCAGGATGTTACTGGTGGCTGCATGCAAACCGACGTACGAACCACAGCCCGGCTGGTCGGGTACTGATTTTAGGTGCCTGTCCAGCGCCTTCTTGAAGACAGCCGGGGGTCTATTGGTAATCCCTCTTATGTATGTTGGGAAGCAGTTGAACAGTCTTGGGCCCCTGACAGTTATTGTGCTGTCTCTTAGCATACTTATGGCCCCCCTGCTTTTCATTGGGGAAGGGGGGAATGTTGCATCTGAAGAAAAATCATGGGCTTGGCATCCCTAGTTTTGAAGGTTCTCATTATCCATCCT